ATGATTAACAGGCAGCTAAAATGTGTACTCCCCAGCAACCCTGCGGCTTAGCTTCCAGCAATCCTTTGTAGTTTTCACATTAGTCATCTTCAGTGAGTGAAGGACTTGAAAAACGTCCAAAATATCCTCCCCACCTCCAAGCCAACTGGATGCTTAAGCGCCACAGGTGCCACTTACGGGAATAATGTCACAGTACCAGTTAATCAACATTTTTCTTTTGTTACAGCTGCATCTTTGGTGACAATATTGCTTCTGGGAACAATATTTCTGGGAACGATAAGGGAGAAGCCAAGTAAGTTCCAGGTGGAGGTATAGAAGTTGTATAATTGCAAAATTAAAAGCAGCCTGGTCCATCAGCTGTCCACACAACGTGTACACCCTTCCTACACATAGGTTGGTCCTTTAGCTTCAAAATCATTTTAACCCAGGCACCGCCAGCCTGGTGCTCCCCAGATGTTTCTGATTTTTACAACTCCCATCAGCTGCAATTCATGGGATGCAACAGACCAAAAAAAGCTGGAGGGCACCAGGTTGTCGAACCCTTTTCAAAGTTCAGCTCAACTTGACAGCATGTTTCAAGTGTAAATTAGTGACATTAAAATCTCTTTGAAACCATCAGGCGTGAGAAGGCATTCAAACAAATCCCACTCATCTTTGCCAGGGATATTTCAGTTTTCTTTAGATACAACAGGCCTAGTTTGCTACTGGAAACAGGTTTTTAGAAGTTGGATCCTATCAGCAACTGACTTCACTTCGAAATGAAAAATGCCTTTCACATCACATTCGTGTAGCATTACATCTGACAAGTAAAGAAACAATTGCTTATTTCCCCCTTAACTTTGACAAATATCATCATTCTACCATTAGATTTCTATACCTTTGAAAGCTGATAATATTTCATGATGTGAGCAAATATCCAAGCTGTGGACAAATCTCCTAGAATACATCAAACAACAGACCCATTGTTTACTGACATTTTGAGGGCTGCATTTAAAAGGTTATTAAATACAATAGATTTTCCGAGATACAATCTGAGGAATGCAAACTGGCCAATCAATACAAACACCCAGCTTGTAGATGGATAAATAACTACTTTAACTCCTGCTTGGCAGCTCCTCAGTCATCTGATGAACATAGGTTGCTGTTAGATATATAGTGTTGCCACATCCTAGACTGTGCATGGATCCTTCACCTTAAAGTTGCTCTGGAGTGCTCACCATAGCAACATGTCCCAGATGCTTCTTGCCCACTGTTCCTTCCAATTGTGGACTGGAGAAAGTTGGCAAAGCCCATCAGGCAAATCACATTACATGCTGTCAGTTGTAAACTTTACTGGAGAGTGGTGAGCAAACCACTTAAATGAAAACAAACTCTAACATATTTTAAGCATGAGAAAAGGGGAGAGACTCCATCAGGCAAGGCCTCTTTCCACCTGCCTTGCCCCACCCCCTGGCCCTGGGAGTCCTCATAAGGAAGCTGGTCCTGGAGGAAGAACTGTGAGGGGAGAGACTCCATGAGGCAAAGCCTTCTTCCACCTGCCTTGCCTGATGGAGTCTCCAGTCGCTGCTTCTCAATTTGTATTGTATTATTTTCTGCACTGTGGCTTGCCCTTGCTTTATTGATTGTAGTTTCGAAATTATTTGTTGTAATTGTTAAGAGTGGGTTTCTGTTTAATTTTTATATGCTGGTATTATTATTCTATAGTATTCCATGATTTTTGAATGTTACTTTAGTTGATGTAGATTGCTTATTTTAAAGCTATGTTTTATCACATTTTTGTATTGCATTAGATTGTTATAAGGTATGCATTCTTTGTCTCTTCAGCTTGTAAACCGCCTTAAGTATTGTAAGATAGAAAGGTCATATACAAATTAAAAGTGATGATGATGATGATGAAAAGCCCACCAGAAACCAACTCTACAGCTCTTGGGCTTTGTGTAACACCTAGACAGGAATTTCTCCAGACTCTGGTGAAGTGGAACATGCAAAACATGGGCTAGTCCCCCTAATGTTACAGTTACCACCCTAAGCGAACTGAAGTCATAGGATGGTATAAGCTTAAAAAGGCACCCTATGGGACAACTGAGAGAATATCCCACATTCCTATTCCAACTCTCTAAAGGGAAGCTAGCTAATCCCATTCTGCCAGGAATGGCTCAGTAGTTGGGATATCATGCTGTAACTAAGAGACCAGAGACACCATTTTTAACTGCCATGGCTTTCTGCAAAGAATTCTGGGATTTGTAGTTTGCTAAGGGTGCTGAGAGCTGTTAGGATACTCTGAGAATTGTAGTTCTGAGAGGGGGATAGGGATCTCCTAACAACTCTCAGCACCCTTAGCAAATTACAAATCCCACAATTATTTCTTTGAAGCCATGACTGTTCATAGTGCTTGAAATGTAGGGTGTTAAGGCATCTTGTTTCTATTCCATGCTGTGATTGCGCCAAATGCCCAAACCACTCTCATGTCCCTTGGAATTTTGTTTTGCTTCATAATAGTGAACTCACTCTAAGACAAAGCAAGTCCAGTGCAGAGTGCATGATGTTCTGTGTTCTTGATATGCCTACTTCCCCACACAGAATTGTTGGTTGACTTCAATCTATTTGGTGGCTGTGACTTTTGAAGTGGTGCAGGAAAATGGTCCTGGTAAGTTACTAGAACAGAATTGAATAATGAAGAGCAGCTCAAAAGGATCTTGCTGCATCTCTGCCCCCTCAATCCCCTTTAAAGAAAAGTGATGTTTGTATATTTCCCCCACTCATATCTCTCTTAACCATATTTATTTCCCCCTTCTTTATATTACTCCTTAAGCAAATCAAGCTCTCCCTTAAAACTCAGTTCCATGCCAACACTAAGTTCAGAAAACAAATAGGATATTTATTTCAAAAACTGTGTTTCTAAATCCCTTTGAATTCCTCTGCATTCCTTGTCTCTCTCCTACTCCAAACCTCCTCATTACAATACATTTTATTGCATTCCTGGAGAGAAATGCTGTTGACAATGACAGCAATTTCACAATAATTGAAAGATGAGCAAATTTGTCTGCAGACATTATCCAAAGAAACGGCAAAAATGTATGCACACCTTTGAACTCTTTTTGGAGAGCTTATTATCATGGGACCTTTTAGACACTTTTTTTCTCCATCTCTGAAAACAGTGCTACTCCCCATACACATATCCAATGACCAGCTCAAGTAAACTCACTCTTAGATTTCTAGCTTGTTAAGGGCTTTCTAAAATATTTCAGGAGAGGAAGCAAGTGTATTTCTGAAGATTGGAACATTTATATTTGCCATGGTCTCTTTTTCCAACGATGTCTAGAGGGCACCACATTGGCACACCCTGATAAAGAGCCTCAGTTCATATCTCTCCATTGTGACACAAAAGTGTAATGATTTCACATGAGAACAATACCAAGGCTTGTATTCAAAGTTGTGCAAGTTGAAGGCAGCTCACAAAGCAGATCTTTCCACTTCCTTTCCCCACCTGTAGGTCCCTGTATCTCCTGAGAAGCCCCTCAAGAGGGTCAGGGGGACCTGTCAAACATCACGTTGCCCAGGCCTGTAAGAGAGGAGGAAATCACTCAAAATTGAGCAGCTCAATCTTGTGCCAGTGGAGTGTGAGATTCCTCATCCCAATTTCAGGCAATTCCAACTTTACTCAAGGAGGAGACCTGATAGTCAAAAGGCACTGCTTTCTCATTTAATGATCTTTGCCAACCTAGGACCCTTTAGGTATTTTGGACCAAAAGTCCCATCAGCCCCAGCACAAGACAGTTGTTTTGGCTGGGGTTGATGGGAGCTGTTGCCCAAAGCATATGGAAGGTACCAGATTGGCCAAGGCAGATGTAATGCTTTTGGCCTGCTTTAGCTATACTTTTCTTACATTCTTAGTGAGGAAAGGAAAGAGGCATAAAAAAAAACCTCATGCAGTTTCCTCTATCAGTAGCTTAAGTCTATCTTGCCTAATTATGCAATCACAAGTGTTTACCGGTATCAACAAAGAAAACAAAAGTGTTTTGTTTATTGGGTTGTTTCATATTATATAATTTTTGAAAGAGGGATAAAGCGTGTTCTCACTAAAGGAGAGCACGTGTTGCGGATGGGGCCGGACAAAGCACCCTGCAATGACTAGGCAGGTTGGAATAAAGGGGGCCTAGTGCTGGTTGGTGTTTATGTTGCTGGGGAAAATTTGTTGTTGCAAATTTAGGGGTGGGATCAGAGGATATTTAAGCAGGGTCCACAGCAAGCTACTTTCTCTTTCACTGTGGACATCGGATCAGACTGAACTCAGTGAAGGACTGGTTGTATTTACATTTCTTCTCCTTTTCCTTTCCTTTGTTTAATTTTATTTGATTGGTTTCCTCTTATTATATTATTAGATCCCTGCCACCTTTCCCTGGGGCTTAGAGCCCCCGTGGGCTGCTGGGGCTTTGCCCTCGGCTCTGGCTGTTGGGCGACTCCCGGCCTAATCCTAGCTTGGGGCCCTTAGGGATTTAGTGGCTGGGGAAGACCTTTCCTTTAATTTATTTATTTTAGCTTCATTTTAATTTGATTTTAGTAGCTCCCCCCCCCACGTGGAAGCGACTGCCTGCTCAGCGGTGGTGGCGCTGCTGGGGAAGCTGTTAGTTTTGTAAATTGCGCATAGCGCACTTGGCAATTTTTTCGGGCTGTTTTAATCTGCTTTTGGGCCTGATTTGGCCTGGGAGGCCTCCAGGGCGAGTGCGGGCAGTAGAGACCTCCATTTTGGGTGGTTTTGGGCGGGAGCGCCATTTCCTGCCTCCCTCTACCTTATCCTGGCCTCCAGTGGCCGTTGGAGTGAGTGCAGCCTATAGTTGGCTGTGTTTGCTGGTGGCGCCACCTGGTGGCGGTTTGTATGGTTGCAGCTGATTGAAAGTGACTGAACCAATTTTCCATTCAGCCAGTTATTGCCTGTTAGCGTCTTTAGGTATTGTTTGCCATCTTTAAATTGTTTATTTGTTTTTCCATTGGTAGTAGGTATGGCCCCGAAAAGGAAGACGTCTAAGAGGCCTGGTCTTGTGTCCTCAGCGAAGAGACCTATTAAAGGCCCGTCCCAAGCCTTGTGTTCACCTGCGCCAAATCAGTCGTTGAGTCGCATCCAATCCATGGTCACTGGTTTGGCTGGTGACCCTGCTGCGCTGGCCCATGTTGAAGCTGAAATGGACGGCCTGTTGCACCGCTGCTCAACTCCGTCTACTTCTTCTGCAAGGCCAGCCCCTCCCGCAGGCGCATCATCTCTGGTGTCGTCATCTAGCGAAGAGGAGAGAGAGTTTATAGCAGCTGGGGGTTTCTTACCTAATACTGTGGCCCAAACCCCTGATTTACCCAAGTCTCAGGCTGCCATGCCGAAGGGTCAGGGTGGTGCCAGGGGAACGCCCAGGAGGAGGGCATCTGCTCAGATCCGGGCAGTGCAAGCAGCAGGTGCGCCGCCCCCAGCAGCTGTGCGCTCGGTTTCTGGTCATTCACAGGTTATCTCTTTTCAGTCTATTCCGGGCACCGCTCAGCAGGGGGATGCTTCTGAGTCTTCGGTAGAGGATAGCCTTCTTCCACCTCCGAGACCCTCTTCTGGTGGGCACCGTCGCCGCAAAAAGAGTTCCAGGAGGCGCGCCAAGAGAAGGCGGAGGGATACTTCATCCTCTCCCTCAGGTACTTCATCCTCTAGTTCAAGCAGCGATGAGGAGGCCTCTCTCAAGCTTTACTGGGGCTTTGGGGAGTCGACGGGGCTTCCAAAATGGGCATGGGAGCGAAGGGCCAACTCTCACAGAGCAAAGTACGGGGCAGTTCAGGATTGTCGAGATGGGGTCCTGGTACCTGAGGTAAAGGTCGCCACCAACTCTGTCAGGGACCTCATACCCGGTGCCCACTTGACTACCAAGCTGCGGTCCAGGATTTTGGATGGCCGTTATATTGACATATTCAGCCTTGCCCCTCCGCAAGAGGGTCAGGACCCACAAGACAAAGGCTCTACCGCCTCTAAAAAACGGGCGGTGGTAGCAAAGGTGGATAGGACATTTGAAAGGTGGCTGGATAGCTTCCAAGTTTTTGCTGGAGTCGTGTCCGCAGCTTATCCTAGGAGATCTTTGCATCTATGGGTGTATTTGTCTATTGTCCGTTCGGCCTTTACGATGGCTGGAGAATCAGCTGCAATATCGTATGATGAGAACTTTAGGCGCAGGGCAGCTAAGATCCCCACGGCCCGCTGGGACCGGAAGGATTTGGACGTATGGACCACTTTTGTGGCTCCGCGTATTGACAGGAAGGCTTCAGAACCTCAGAAATCTAAGGCTGTCCTACCAAGGGTGGGTCGTAAGTTGTTTTGCTGGGATTTTAACAAGGGTACCTGCCTGTGACAATTCTGCAGGTACTCACATGCATGTGAGAAGTGCTCTGGGAACCATCCGGCTTCAGCTTGTACAGGGGGCCGTCGGTCCTTTCGGAAAGGGGGGGGCCCCCAGCAGCCCCCAAAAGCCGCTCCTCCGGCTCCAGCCGCTGGAGCAGCAAAGTAATACCTTGTCCTCTCTAGCCTATACCCCGGTACGGCTACAGCCGCTCCTGTTATTATTGCAGTCATATCCAGACAGGGCGTCGGCGTCTTATTTGCGGGATGGTTTTTCTTTGGGCTTTAGGATTCCAGTGGTTGCCACGCCGGTGGCTAGGAGTCCTGGGAATCAGAGGTCAGTTTTGGACATGCCAGAGGTGGCACGCAAGAAGATTGGGAAGGAGCTGGCTTTACGTCGTATGGCTGGCCCTTTCATTGTTCCCCCATTTCCCAATTTGCATATTTCACCGTTGGGTATTGTTCCTAAAAAAGCCCCGGGGGAATTCCGCCTAATTCACAATCTCTCACACCCTAAAGGCACATCAGTAAATGATGTTATTCCCCCGGAGCTTTGTACGGTAAAGTATGCTTCCCTTGATCAAGCGATCAAGATGGTACGGAAATTTGGGCCAGGCGCCCTAATGGCCAAATGCGACATAGAATCCGCATTTCGGCTGCTTCCTATTCATCCCGATGACTTCTGGTTACTGGGCTTCCAGTTTGATGGAGGATTTTATTTTGATAAGGCCATGCCTATGGGCTGCTCGGTAGCCTGTGCGGCTTTTGAGCGTTTTAGTTCATTTTTGGATTGGGCTTTGCGCAAAAGGACTGGTCTGAGCGGTGTCACTCATTTCCTGGATGATTTTTTATTGGCCTCAGCCTATGATACAGGGCACTGCGTTGCCTTACTACAGGCCTTTGCCGACTTAGCGGAAGAGCTGGGCGTGCCGTTAGCCGCGGAGAAGACTGAAGGTCCTTCTACGTGTCTGACTTATTTGGGTATCTTGTTGGATACCGTGGCTCAAACATCCAGGTTGCCGGCAGATAAAATACTTGCGCTTAAAAGAGTCATTGAGGAACTGCTGCCCTTGAAGAAGGTGACCTTGCGACAGTTACAGTCGTTGCTGGGTCACCTGAATTTTGCTTGCAGAGTGGTCGCCCCGGGGCGACCATTCTGCTCACGTTTGGCCAGACTCATGTCAGGTTTGAGATCCCCGCAGCATAGGGTGCGCCTTTCAGCCCAGGTGAGGGCTGATCTTCGGATCTGGTTGGAATTCCTGGAGGAATTCAACGGGGTGTCTTTGTGGCAGGACACTTTGAACCTCCACACTGATTTTCAGGTGCATTCCGATGCCGCGGGGTCTTTGGGGTTTGGCCTGTATTGGGATGGTAGGTGGTGTGCAGAGCGCTGGCCACTAGCTTGGCATGGGAAATCCATAACTCGGGACCTAACATTTCTGGAGTTTTTTCCCATTGTAGTGGCTGTGCATTTGTGGGTCGAGCATTTCAGGGACCGTCGAGTTTGTTTTTGGTCCGATAACCTGGCGGTGGTGAACGTGCTAGCCAAGCAGTCTTCACGATCCACTAGGGTATCCGCCCTGTTGCGGGCTTTTGTTTTACATTGCTTGCGTTTTAACATTGTATTTTCTGCACGTTTTGTTCCTGGCGTGTCTAATGACATTGCTGATGCTCTGTCCCGTTTTCAGATGGAGCGATTCAGGTCCCTGGCGCCAGTGGCTCAAGACCGTCCGGAATTTTTCCCGGATCATCTCTGGAACCTTGGCAGCACTTAGTTTTACAGGGAGTAGCTGCATCTCTTGCCCCCTCCACGTTGAGGTCTTATAAGAAGGCTTGGACTGATTTTTTACAGTTCACTGGGCAGCAAGTGGGGGGGGGAGTTGGTAACCCCCATTCTACCACTCAGGTGCTCCAGTACCTGGCACACCTATTTCAGAGGCGTCGGGCAAACAGGACGCTGAGACTGCATTCTGCAGCAATTTCCTTCTTTAGCAAGGCAATGTTTAATAAGGATCCATGTGGGAAATTTGTGGTGCGAAAGGCACTTGAAGGCTGGGGGCGGCTTCGTCCCTCCAGGCCAACTTCCAGGCAGCCCATCACATTTCATCTGCTGACTAGGATGCGCAGCAAACTGAGGAGCATCTGTTGGTCCAGGTTTGAGGCTCGGTTGTTTTCCGCAGCCTTTTCTTTAGCCTTCTTTGGGGCCCTGAGAGTGGGGGAGGTGGTCCTTGAGCCTAAGCGGGATGGAGGTTCTAGGGGTTTGTTGCTGCAGGACGTGAGCTTGTCTCCGTCAGAAGTGCAAGTCAATGTCAGGAGTTCGAAAACGGATCAACTGGGAAGGGGAGCGGTGATTCGGCTCCCAGCAACTGGGAAAGGGGGTCCTTGCCCGGTCAAGGATCTCCGAAAATACATGGCTTTACGACCACCAGGTGATGGCCCTTTGTTTATTCATGAGAATGGGCATCCGTTGGCTCGTCACCAGTTCACCAAGGTGCTGCGCAAGGTGATTGTTGCCTGCGGCCTTGCAGCTTCTGAGTTTGCTCCTCATTCCTTTCGGATAGGGGCTGCAACGACTGCGGCTCATTGGGGTTTATCGGTAGAGAGGATTAAGGATCTGGGCCGGTGGAGGTCGGACGCGTACAGAGGTTATGTACGGAAATGACGTGATTTCATGCGCTTACGTTTCTTGTTTTTACCCTAGGCCCAGCAGTTATACGCATCTGGATTGTGGGGCACAGTATTGTATACTGGGCTGCTAGCAGAGCTCGTCAGTCCGGAATGGGTGATGGCCTGGGCCTGCCACAGCACGTACGGGTGTCCTGGATCTCCAGAAGGGGGATGCTGTGGAAGGAGCTTCTACCGCTGATGCAGAGGCGTGTTCTCATGGAGGGGCCCCCTACAGCGATTGTGGTTCAGCTCGGAGAAAATGATATGGTGTCATCTTCCTGTTATGTCCTGCGGGCTGTTATGTTGGAAGATTTGCGGGAATTGGCGGCCATGGTGCCGGCAACTAAATTAATTTGGTCACAGTTGCTTCAACGCCGTAAGTGGCGAGGTAGCCCCTGTTTGGCGGCCACTGAAAGGGTTAGAAAGCGGATTAATTCTGCGATGAGCAAGTTGGTGGTCAATCTGGGTGGGTTTGTGATTCCACACCCTCTTATTACGTTCAAAGCCGCCGAATTCTTTATGATGGATGGGGTTCATCTGTCTTCTGTTGGGAATGATGTGTGGTTACATTCGGTGGTTGAAAAGTTGAGGGCGTGTTTGAGGCTGTGAGTGGTTGGCGGCGAGCGTAAGGGCTCGAGTGGCGGTTAGGCATTGGTTTAAATTGGTTGGTGGAGGGGTATGGATTGGCTGTGCCTGCCCCTCCAATGCTGTTGCTGCACGGGAATTCCGTTAAAGGAATTCAGGGGCTTACCATGCTTTCGTCCAAACCCCTGGAATCGGGTTCGGGCCGTGTAAGCCCCTAGGAGCATGCAGGGAGAAGCTGAGGGTCTGTGTCGCAGCTCCAGTCATCCCTGAACTTGTTCCTCCACACTGGCTTTCGCTGGAATCCGGGAGCCAGTGCTGTCCCCAATGTGGGGGGGGGGGGACAGATAGTCATAACCAATGCCTAAGCAACCACTCACAATTTGTATGATAATAAAGTTGTGGCCAAAATTATGCCAAAAACCTTAAACAAAAATTATGTGTGATGTGTGAGTTATTGGGGTAAGGGTGTTTTGGGGGACCTCAGCACGCAAAGCGTGTTCTCACTAAAGGAGAGCACGTGTTGCGGATGGGGCCGGACAAAGCACCCTGCAATGACTAGGCAGGTTGGAATAAAGGGGGCCTAGTGCTGGTTGGTGTTTATGTTGCTGGGGAAAATTTGTTGTTGCAAATTTAGGGGTGGGATCAGAGGATATTTAAGCAGGGTCCACAGCAAGCTACTTTCTCTTTCACTGTGGACATCGGATCACCCACCCGCCCTCCCTTGTTGGGGCTTGCGCTTTGACCTTGCTATGCCTGTCATGGGGTCGTCTGCATTGGTGCGGGGGCCTGGTAGGAATTTTTCCAATTGGCTGATTAGTGTGTGCCTTTTGGGTTTTGCCTACTGCTTAGCAAATCGTCACAACTTGTAAGGTTGGCGGTTAGGCATTGGTTTAAATTGGTTGGTGGAGGGGTATGGATTGGCTGTGCCTGCCCCTCCAATGCTGTTGCTGAATGGGAATTCCGTTAAAGGAATTCAGGGGCTTACCATCCTTTCGTCCAAGCCCCTGGAATCGGGTTCGGGCCGTGTAAGCCCCTAGGAGCATGCAGGGAGAAGCTGAGGGTCTGTGTCGCAGCTCCAGTCATCCCTGAACTTGTTCCTCCACACTGGCTTTCGCTGGAATCCGGGAGCCAGTGCTGTCCCCAATGTGGGGGGGGGACAGATAGTCATAACCAATGCCTAAGCAACCACTCACAATTAGTATGATAATAAAGTTGTGGCCAAAATTATGCCAAAAACCTTAAACAAAAACTATGTGTGATGTGTGAGTTATTGGGGTAAGGGTGTTTGGGGGGACCTCAGCACGCA